TGGTTGGGGAAGACGAAGAAGAAGACCCAGACCCAGACTGTTAGTTGGTTTCAAACGGGTCTAAAAGCTTTCACTATCTCTTAATGTCCCTCAGAATTAGTTTTAATTGTGCGCTGACCTGTATGTATATAATTAAAGTAGTGATGCATGATATTAAAATTTCTTGCCGACATCAATATCAGATCTTAAGATTTCTGATATCGCTGAAAACCAATACTACAGATATTCAATTTTTGTTCACACTGAAAAATGAGTAGAAGTAAGCACTGTGAGAAAACTATTTAAAAAAAGCCCATACCAAATTAGACCACATAGTCTTCTTTATTACATAGCAAAAGCAAAACATATTTAAACATATTTAGCATTCAAGTACAGGACCATTTAAATAAAAACATCTGTGAAATAGCAGCAATATCAAATGTAGAGACAAAGGCGCTAATGTTAGACAATCATTGGTTTTTCACATTGGCTAAATTTGTTAATTGGACCGATACCAATATATCGGAAAAAACACTAATATCGGCCGATACCGATGTGATCGCCGATATATCATGCATCCCTAAATTAAAGCTAATGGTAACATAAGGCACAATGGACAAACACTTGGGATTTTCCTAATGTTGTGGTGACATAACCATTAAAAAGTTCTCCACAACTCTGCACCTTAAAATTAGCAGAAGCAGCTCTAGGAAGTAAACCTGGTGGACTGAGAGGCAGCTGCTGCTGAGGAGGCAGGACTATACAAAGTTTGAGCTAGACACTTATTGGTTTGTTAGCTGGTATGTAGCAGCTCAGTAAAATCCTTACTGGCTTGTAAAGCTGGGTCTCTATCTAGTTATGAGGGAGCTGGAGGAATGGCTGAAGCAAACATCTTCATATTTTAACAGCTTGTATTTCACACCGCCAAGTTTATAACGAGCACAAAACATAGTAAAAATAGATTTTTCACCAAATGGGACCTTTTTAAAGCAGGAGTCATACATCAAAGTACTTTGAGGGCATTTAAACTATAAAGGGAATTGGAAATAGAAAATTGAAGAAGTAAATAAAAAAGATAAAACTGAACACAGACACTTAGGCAGCATGTAGGGTTTGGAACTTGCTTTGAAAGTCAATCAGAGCTGGTGCACATCTTAGCTCTTCGGAGATTAAAAGGCTGATGCTTGACCTGCAAATTCACTGTTTTAATTTAAATTAATGAGTTAAAAGTAATTAAACCCTTGAAAGGCGATCAGCATTACATGGAGGTAGCAGTGAAATGTGTAATGTTGCACTTTGACCAATAGAGGGCTGTAAGAATCCATCAAACCAAAGAGGACAAACATGACTTATTCATAGCAACTATAGAACATGTGATTAAATAAAGCAGCAAACATGCTGCAATCTAAATCTTCTTCACTCTGGAAAATCTACATTCTGTTCTTTTTTTCACATTTTTTTTTTTTTTTACCCCAGTCAGCCCTCTGTGGTTTAAATTTACAAACTCACTATTGGATCACAAGATTAACAGACTTTAACAGTCATAATCTTCATCACTATTAGCATCCACAGTAACAGCATTGTGATTATTATCATCGTCATAAATACTTCAATGAATGAGATTAGACCACTGAAGGTCCAGCAAGCATGAAATGCAAAGACAGCACTGACCGACTTGGACACGGTTTCAGGCCGTGGAGCAGAAAAACAAAGTTGTCTCATTTCAGAGAGTAATTGCTACGAAAAGAAATGCATCAAGGAAGCAAGTGTGGAGTTTGGATCAATACTGATTCCTTCCAGGCCTGTTTGACATTACAGAAATAAGCAAAAATGGAAATTGGCAAATGCTATAATATCAAATAAGATAAATGATTGCATTCCAAATGTTTTGACTGATGTAGAGAGAATATACATGGTTATTCTCGCCTCTGAGACAAACTAGGAGTAATTTTAAACCTACCTTTAATGCCAAGATACATGTTGATTGAAAGAAATTGTCAATAAAGATAACGTGTTAAGATTTTGAATAAAGTTTTGTGTATATCCTCAAACTTTAAAATTCTATAATGTGGCTCAATTTTCGTGGTATTTTCGGTACTTAATCTGCTGCAGAGCACCTCCAAAACCACAAGATTAGATCACACAGATAAATAGTTCCGTCAAAGTGGACAGAATTTTAATTTGAACAATAAATCAGTGAACCAAATTGAGAGGAAACATAATAACATCAAACTAATTGACTTCAGTCCATGAAACACTGGCGTCTGTGGCCCCCCCTCCAGTCTTTAGGATTCTGATCAGTGCAAAGAGAAACAACTCTAAAGGTCAAGTGGAGCTAGAATTGGTCGTTCACCAGCCTCATCCGTTCAAATCTAATTTGTGAGTAAGTAAGGCAGCCTGCATGCTGTGCCGAGGATGACTTTTGGATTCAAGTCGATATCGCGACGAGGGGACAAGAGAAGCATTTCGTATGAGATCCAAATGTTCACGCTGACATTGTTGACACTGGTGACATTGCTTTGTAGGGACTTAATGAAGCGTCCACTTAATTTCAAACATCTATTTATAAGAGTTTCTTTAAGTCGGTGCCTGAAATTCACTTTGCAAGTAGGAAAAGCTCCTCTTGACTTGACCTCCTTCAGCTATAATTGAGGCCTGTAATTATTACATTACATTATTCTGAGCCACATACTGGGACTGTGGCTTTTTTTGTTGTTATTATTTTTCTAGCTAACAAACAGAAGCTGCAAAACATTATTACATTAAAGGATGCTGTGCAGGTACAGCAATCATATTTGGTGTTTTTTTTTTTTTTAAGTTAATTATTTAATTATATTAAGTTCAGTAATTAACATCAGAAAACAAATGAGAGCTAACGCCCTCACATAGACAATGTTTTTTAAAAAGAAAAGCTTGGAATATAAACTCAACAACCACTTTATTAGCTACACTTGTGAAATCTAATGCAGTTCAGTGCATCAGTGAGGTGATTAATTCTACTTTTCTGCAGCTTCTGCATTTGCAGCTTTGATTTTGCTGCACTATACTGCATATTTTCTCCACCCTTTTAACATACATGAGGGGGGAGGAAGTATTAGGAACACTTTAAAATGGAATAGACACAAAACACAAAGTGGAAGAGTCACATGAATGTCATAACATGAATAGAAACATTTAAAATGCAAATGTTTTGGATAGCATTAGATAGCACACGTGTCCCTAATAAAGTGCTCAGTGAGTGTATGTGTGGTTTGCTCTATAACAAAGCAACCAAACTTCTTTTTAATTAAAAAAAAATGTTGGAGTCGATCAGGTTTTGTAACTTGGAAGGAGGCAAAAAGGTTTCTAAGGACAGTATGAATAAACCAAAGACGTTGATTCACGTGGCACCATTTAGAATAAAACATAATTCACAGAATACTCCGACACTTTTCAGCACCATGACCAGCGACGTATGTGTTTTTATCCATCACTGCCAGACTGCAGGTCACTTTGGAGTGAACTTTAGAAATGGAATTATGTTTTGATATGACATCAGTTAAACTTTATCACCCTGTATCAAAGTCCGGTGGCCTTTTGAGTGCCTTTTAGTTTGACTCATATTGAAGTTTGTGCTGATTATTTTGGATTTAACCCTTTTCAGGACTTTGTTGCCATATGTAGAGGGTTTTTGGAGTGCATTGGACCCCAAGAAAGAATATGTGCAGACTTTAATACTATGTTCAATACATTTTCTGATAAGTTGGCGTATTTTGGTTCCAAATGCGTGACAAATGTCTATTTTTATATTTTTAAAAAATCTTCAAAAATAAACAAACATTACCTGTCACCTAAACCAAATGGCCTGGGGGTCCAAAAGACCCCAAAAGTCCTGAATAGGGTTACAGTGATTATTATGATGTTACTACATTCTCAAATATATAGGAGCTATTTTCAACATGCTGCATAAAACTTTCAATAAACCAACTAAATCAATCATGTTGGAAGGAGATTACTGCAGGGATGCCAGCCTCGACCCAGTGCAACCTCAACTGCTTTTTTTTTTTTTTTTTAAATAATAAATCCATTCCCTTCGAGGACATTACCCAATTGGTATGCGCTCAGTAGGGACTTTTTTTATTTATTTATTTTTTAATTTTTCAGCAGCACCAGTCCCAGAATATGGCCAATAATGTTGCTGAGGGGGCGGGGAGCAGCGCGGTCTGCAGACCCACCGAGTCTGGCGGGGAGCCGAGGAGGAGGAGGAGGAGGAGGAGGAGAGGCAGCAGCAGCATCAGCATCAGCAGCAGGCAGCGGTGGTGGCAGAGATGGGCTCACACCTCTGAATCACAACTCAGCCTCCAGTCACGGAGACTTGGGACGACTAGTAGTTTGGAGAGGGGGGGGGATCGGTGCTGCTCACTGAGACTGGTGCTCCACAGCTGCCAAACAATAAACAGGGAGCGGGAAGATTTGGATTTATTTTTTTTATTTTTTTTTATTTATTATTAATCTTTTTTTATATACTTGCATCGCTCCTGTCGTCTCACCTGCACTGCAAAGTCCGCTGTGATAATAATGCATCCAGATAAGTACTTACCTGAACTGGTGGCCGAGAAAAACAGCTTGGATTCGTGCTTTGTGCATGCGGTGCGCCTGCTTGCAGAAGGTAAGTCAGGTATTTTCTAAAAAAAAAAAAATGTATCCGACTCTGAACGTTGCAGAATTGTTTATCAGTCACCACGTTCTGTGCTGCTGGAAGCGCCATTGCTTTGCATTTTTCTTTTTTTTTTCTTATTTTTTTGGGAGGGAGGAGGGAGAAATACAGTGACCTGATGTGAGCTTTATGTTATAGCACACCGTCCTTGACTTTTAACGCGTTCTTTATGGCATTAAATTCACTGTGTGCTGTGCGTTTTATGTAGACGCTGCTCTCTGGCTCCAGTGCAGAACTTTACTGAGGTTTTCCATCAAAGTGAGGATATGCTGGGAGCACAGAAAGTTTAAAAAAAAAAAAAAAAAAATATGCTGGGAGCACAGAAAGTTTAAAAAAAAAAAAAAAAAAGTCAGTCATCACCTCTTATTGTAACCCACTGCCCTCCAAGGTCAAGCACAGGCACTGAGAAATTAAACCAGAGAGCCTCACAGAGCAGAGAGAGAGAAAGAAAACAGTGAAAGGGCTAATCACCTTAATTGTATGATTAATTGGATTTAAGCTGCGCTGTTAATCCCCCCAGAAAAATACAGAGTACAGCCAGCTGTTTTTGTTTTATTGCTGAGATGGTCAGGATTTTTGTACATTTATGTAAAATTTTTGTTTTTTGTGGTTATTTCTTTAACTGCAAGCGGTTGGGAAAGATTTGCTTTCTGGCAAACTTCATGTCCTCCTTGACTTTTTCCTCATTCTAAGTTATGCTCAGTGACCACATATCTAACATTTTGATCATAACCTGAGATGCACATTGCCGGCTGAAATGTACCAGGAGTCAAAAATGTCTCAAACTGATGCACCTTAAATGTCATGAAGGTCACAGAGCGGACTAAACGCCTTTGAGGCAGATGTTCTACAGTCTTTTCTCCGTCATAACGTTAGCGTATGTCCAACAGGCCTGCAGCATGTAAAGCACTTCTTCATCCTACAGGTAGCCTCGGTCTCATTCACATGCTGAGAATGTGTCTCTCTGATGGGAAACTTGTCACCCCAAAGCAAACACAAGCAACCCGGCTCGGCTCTTTCAGTGTAGAGATGTAACTTTTTTTTCCCCATCTCTCCAGTGCGGTTCTACACCTTGTCCTAAGTGCACATGGAAGGTGGAAGTGTATCCCTAAAAATAGCACTGAAGAGGTATGAGTGATGTGTTATTGCGGCGAGCGGATGATACTTTCATTCTAGTGTCTTGGACCCAAATGTGCTCAGCCTACATGAGCTCACAGGACAACACTTAAAGGCAGATGCAGAGGCAAGACAGAGCAAACAGGAAAGCAAACAAAACACTCGACACTGTATCCTTGTGTGAAAAATAGTACGTCAGATATAAAATGACAAAAGTGTACTGCACGACTGTGAGCCTTATGTACAACTTTATTACTGGTTACTGAAGTCATGCATTATTTCCTTTTTTGTGTCCAAGTAACCTTCTGATATCGTGGTTGAATGTTAATTTCTAATAGCTTTTGACACGTTTGTTTGAGGTGAAGTCACACAGTGGGCTAGATTAATATGCTGTAACTGGACAGGGTGTTTGTGCTCCGGTGTTCTGCCCCCTGAGCCTTTCTGTTGAAATGTGTTGATGAGACACCTGACAGTCCCGCTCTTGTCGCTAACCAGGGTGCAGATGGGATCATCTGTCACACAATACACTTTGCCAGATTTACTGAAGGCTGAATCCCGTAGCCAGAATGCAAACTAAAAAAAAAAAAAAAAAGTACTAATCACAGTGAACTTTAATTAGCACGTTAAAATGGTGCTACACATGTATTCACTTACTGACACTTTTTAAGTCATGTGATAAATTCATTCATTTAAAGCGTCTTTAAAAAAAAAAAAAACATTAAACTAGAGCCTAAACAAAGACACAAACAGAAGATACAAACAAAAATCTGAGATAAAACTACCAACAAAAACATAAAAAAACAACAATTTAGTGAAATAGCACCATTAGGAATATATAGCAATGAAGATGTAAGACAAGTGAATCAGCTAAAACAAGAATGGCTGGAGGTAAAATGTGATTAAGTTGAAAACTTAAATTGCCCGAAGGATAAATATGAGTCAAGCTTGAGTTTGTTCTGCATGTTGTTAGAGGTTACAGGTGCAGCGTGAATAAAACTAGATTTCTCAAGTTCATGGCATCTACAAGTTATTCAAGTGTGTCTGATAAAGGCCTACGTTAAAGGTCAGTGGAGAGGTCATGTCACGGGGTAAATAAGAAGTAGATGAATAAAAACTAGTTTCTTTTAAACCTTACAGAGGAAGGCCTCCTGTGCTTTACATACAGCTCACAATGATCAGCGTCGTCACCAGCGATAAATCCTTGTGCAGGGTTGTACACAGCACCTAGGGGCTGGAGGGTATGAATACTATTCTACCGAGTGTAACACTGTAATCAAAAATACAATACACTGTAGTACGTTGCAATGTGTTTCCCTGAATAGCATCCCGTTCGCAAGGTCAACACCGAAGCATCTATGCATCATACACAACACTGGAAAATCAGCGTGATAAACTGTCAGTTTTGTAGCGCCGACTCTGAAAACGTTCAACACAATCAACTGCGGATGACAGCGTGTGAAATAACGATCATAACTTTTAACCGCTGTCACGGAGTTGTTATCTGGTTTTGTCAGTCTGCGCTCATGGATAATGCAGAATATCGCTGGACTGCAAGATAAACTGCACTTACCAGATTTATAGATTCACAGCTATTTATCACTGAATAGCAAAGCATGTAATCCTGCATTATTCACATCATGCACAATGTACCGCATAACATGGATTAACTGTGCTCCCTTAACATCTCCATATTTATGAAAGGAATTCCTTGCTGTTGGTGTTTTAAATTATGTTGCTTCTAAAAAATCATTTGTCTTTGATTTAAAGCAGTTTGGGATGAGGCATTTTCTAGTTCCTGGCTGTAAAATAAGGGTGGGGGTGACTTTTTTTTCTTCTTTTTAGATTTAAAACAGTAAGAAAATAGTGTAGATTTTATTTTATACTATAAATACATCATGCACAATATTGACTCCCTACTCTTCTTCTACACTTCCTTCTTGGACACAGTCAGTTTATTTTAATGTAAGTTGACTAAAGAACTGCGCGGCTGATGTAAAGCTGGAAGTCGGACACCAGAAAGGCAAGCCTTTAATAGATCCCAGTGGTTTCCTCTATAAGACTCCCCTATACGCCACGTAGCCTCGTATTTCCATGAAAACCAATGGGATTACTAATAAGGTGACAGGCAAAGCAGACAGGGAGGCGGAGGAGAGGTGTCTGATGGACAAGCAGAGGAACACTGGCTGTTGAAAAATGTGTGCGTGCTTCCATTTTTAGGGTGAAGGAGACATTTCTCCACATTTCTTTTTTTCCTGCCATCACAACATCTAGTGTGCGTTGTCGCTAAGCATCCTGACAGGGTGTACAGTAGCGTCTCACATGCCCTCACAAGGTGCTGCAAGGCACAGTGACAATGCAAAACAAACCTGCAGAGAAAACTGAATTATGTCAACCTCTCTGATTAAGAGATAAATATAGATACAGAGGGGGACCAACATTATGATTACTGTCAAAAAGAACACAAGAGACTGGGAACACAAAATTTCCTTGTCTGCTAAGTTTTTTTCACTTATTTAAATTCATGCTTTTTCCTGTTTAATTTCCTTAATTGGGAGTCACCGAGTTACATGTTTGGAACGCAGCATAAATAGCCTGTGCACACTCTTCGTTTTGATGTGAAACGCACGTTGAATGAGCTCAAAACACACTTCAGTCCACATCATAGCTGCGTTTTGTGTTCATTTTCACCTTGCATTCAGCCGTTCTTCTAAGTGTTTTGAGCACTCGGGTTTTCTCTTAAGGTCTGAGCAGCACTTTTTTTTTTTTTTTTTCCAGCTACATGCATCAGAAATATCCCTAGAAGGAGACAAAGTACCCAGCAGTTAATTACAGTTTGGGTCATCTTGTGCTTAAACACATTCTACATGTAAAAGTAAGTTCTGTAAAAGTCTCTAGGCTAATGTTAATGCTTCATCAAGGCTCTGTCAAAAACAAGCTCAAACCACATTTTGGGCAACGACCCTGTAACTTTAATTAAAATTAATCAATGCAAGAACCTGTGCTATGCACCCCTGCGACTGTTATAGCTTTAGTTTTAGTCAGCCAATAATGGAGAGCAATAAATAGGAGTTGAGATGCTAAGCTTCAGTGAATGACTCAAGGAGATATAAATCTTACTCTGTAATATATGAGGTTTAAAATGCACAGCCATGGTGCAGAATGCAATCAATGTTCAAATACCTTCTGCAGGAGCATAATATAGACGAGTGTATATGTGATGTGGAATCACACACCCTGGAATGAGAGTGCTTTCAAAAATAAAGGCATAAATAAGAGGAAAAATGGATCAATATTATTATAGAAGCGCCCTTTTGACAGTTGGTCTGTGCGTTTAGGCTGCCTCACTGTCTTCTGGGAGTCGTCCCATCTGTTGCAGGATTTCTTGTTCTTCTTGTTGGTGAAGTTTTTCATGACTTTGGCTGTACGTTTGAGCTCTCTGTCATGATGCAGAACTTCGGATGCCTCCCTATCTAAATCTAAACGTCTAAAGTGCCTAAAACTTTTGCACAGTGCTGCGCATCTTATATTCTTCCAATTGATTTGGAAGATGCTTCACCGCGGAGCGCCATTCTACTCCGAGAATTGATTTTCACTTATCTACCTCTCCGTCTTGTTTTATAAGTTGTTGCTCACATTTTCGTGCGTCTCCATTATGGCCCACTCAGTACCCAGCGGTGACCCGGCTCGTCGTGACAGATAAACAGCACCCCATGTGGTATGACCCATCAAAAGGACGCAAAAATCACATTTCAGGACAGCCGAGAACGTTGAATTACATTTTCAGCATTTAGCCGACACTCTTATCAAGAGTGACTTACAATGAGTGCACGGGTCGA